ACGACCTTTTGTTGGATGTAGTAGAAATGAAATTAACGACTGGTTAGATTGACTATTAGATAATTTCATTTTAGCTGCGGTGCTTAAAACATCAGCAGCTTTCTCATACATTCCAGACAGATTCACTTCTGTTTTCTTTTCCAGATGCTGACGTATGTTTGTATGGATTCTATCCATCTCAATGAAATCGCCTGGTGAAGGATTTTCAGCTAAAAGACGGTATTGTTTTTGTAATAATTTTACTTCTAATCTGGTTTCTCGAAACAATTCCTTAGCTTCGTCTTGTAACAACAGTGTAAGACTGATTTTAAAGTCAAACCACCAGTCTGTAGAGTTAAAATCAGCAGTAGAAAGAAAGACCTTCCAAATTTCATGAAAACGATCCATAAATGTTTGTTTAGAAAGTACATTGACATTACATATCCATCTACCATATGGTGCGGGAGATGATATATTAAGTATAATTTTTACACTATCATGATCAGATAGTCCAATTGGTTCATATGAGATGTTCTCTGTAATATTTCTTATAGATTTTGTACCAAAGAACATATCTATCCTACTATGAAAGTCGTTTTTTAATGCATGAAAGGAATAAACTGTAGTACGAGGATGTTTAGAACGGTATAGTTCATATAATTGTAGAGGAGTGATTACTTCGTGTAATAAAATCGGAAAAGATTTATTATCGGTATAAGTACCTGCATTATGTCTGTCACGTACAGAGTCAGATACACAATTAAAGTCACCACCCACTAATGTCCATCTGCCAGATGGTATGAATGGACGTAATTGAAGAAACAAAGATTTTCTTTCGTCCAGATCACTAGGTGCATATACATTGACCACATTAAGTGGGATATTACTCACATCCAATTTAGCACAAACAGTACGTCCTATAAGGTCCGTACTGGAGTCGATTAAACGGAAATGTTTTCTGAACATAATTAAAACACCGCCATGTGACCAATTACCTAAACTACATACTACACTATATTCAGTAAAGGAAATTTTGAAGGTTTCCAGTTGTTCAATTTTTGTCATATGAAGTTCTTGCAATAGGATAATATCAGGTCGATTATTATCCACCCATACACGAAACTGCGCCTGCTTAGACAGACGAACTATATCTCTAATATTATATGACACGATTGAAATCATAGATGGAAATGATTTGCAAAACTACCTTTATTGATACCGCGAAAATAAAAAGAACTATTCTTGCGATTCATCTGTTTCAGATGAATCATTCATATTTGGTTTTTTAATAACACCACATTGTTCATTTAATTCTTCTTGATGAACATTCTCATCATATTCGAATAAACGTTTACTGCCGGTTTTGAAATGTTCAAACTCATTTTTCAACCTCTTAGTATCTGACGGTAATGAAACTACTGAATTAGAATTATTTGTTTCAGTCCCATTATTTTCCTTCTGCGCTAACACAGGAAAAAAATTACTAGATGTTGTTATTGTACTCTCCAACGCTAACACAGGAGAGCAATTTTCAACATGTTTCATTCCTTGTGAATTACTCACATGATGTAATTCGGCATTACTAATAGATGCAGAATCATTTGAAACGCTCTGAAAACCATCAGAACTATTATAATTCTCATCATCATCGATCATTTTGTTGATTCGTCTCAACAATTGTTGGTGGTGTTACTGGCTCAATCACAGTGTTCTGCATATCCGCAGAACTAGGCTGAGGTTGACTTTTACATGATAATGAGGCTGATGGTTCGTTAAAACCATGTCCACTATGATCACAATCACTGCCATCAGTTTTAGACGGTGTTGTTAGTATTATGTGAACCAGCTGAACATTCTTGTTTTTCATAATTAACATCTTGATCATTTACTTGATCATCCACATCATCTAGACGTGTTATATTTGCATACGATGCATGAACATGGCAATCTGGGTCGTCATGTCCAAAACGTTTACATACACGACACTTTAATACTTTACAATCTTTCTTAATATGTCCACTTCCTTTACAACGATAACAAATGTCTTGTCTACCTTCCAAATGGACTGAAATACTAAGTCCAGCTATTTTAATAGAAATAGGAACATTCTGTTCCGCTTCTTCATTCGTAAAACGCACACGCCGAACGAAGGTTTTAATTCGTCTATATGGGTGTGGAAGTGTTTCACATTCTATACGCATCACAGTTCCCCATTTCGATACAAAAGATCTTACAACATCAACACCAACGGTTGATGGTATTCCGAGTAATCGGATAGTTTTTGTTTCTTGGAATGGTGTGCATATATCGAATTGTTGGTCATTTACTTCTAACACATCATTTTTCAAGAAACTTTATCTTGACTTTTCATCATCGAATATAACGAACCACTCTCTGAGTCCTCGAGGTGAGTCACGAGGCCTTACCTCTTTATAATAATTTGTAATATAAGCAATGAGACTAAACGAGATGAGAGCACGCGATGTTCGAACTGTGCACATGTTCCGCTTTCTCCCCTTCTCGCCATAATTAGTTCTACTTTTTCGTGTCAGTAGTTGTTCGTTCATCGAACGCATTTTGGAAAACGTGTGCATGATCCGTTTAGGTGGATGTTCCACGTTGCTTTTCAAAACTAAGACCAAAACATCCAGCGCGAACGCCGATCTCATCGCACAAAACTCTTTCCATTAATGAGTCATTAGCCAGAGCGCGTGAGTCATAGATGAAACGTCTTGTGCCCACTTGCCCAATTCTAGTTCAGAGAAGAGTAGATAGTAGGCAAGTGTACGCTGATGGTAGTGCACACCGGTCTATTTAGTTAGTCGATTCAATAAGTTTGAAGAGTTTTGAGTCGG